AAAATTACCGGTATTTATTTTATTACATTTATTACATCTATAGTTTATCATTTTAGATTAGATTTTTAACACTTCGGTTGAATCCAAATTGGTAAGTTTTGTTTTTTTTCTTCTTTGTTTTGTTCTCCTTTCACTTGGTTGTTAAATTAACCAATTTCTTTCTTTTTTTAGATTTTTCAACATTTCTGCTGGATCCAAAATGGTAAGTTTCATTTCATTTCTTTTCTTCTTTATTTCATTCTTTCTTCTTTTGCTTGGTTATTAATTAACCAATTTTCTTTTTTTTTTAGGTCTTTGGGTTCTTCAGCTGGATGCAAGGTGGATGTTTCATTTATTTCGTTCTTCCTTTTTTCGCTTAGTTATTAATTAACCAATTTTCTTTTTTTTTTAGATCTTTGATTCTTCAGCTGGGTGTAAGGTGGGTGTTTCATTTGTTTCATTCTTCCTTCTTTCACTTGGTTATTAATTAACCAATTTCTTTTTTTTTAGATCTTTGGGCTCTTTGGCTGGATGCAAGGTGGTAAGTTTCATTCATTTTTTTTCTTCTTTATTTCGTTCTTCCTTCTTTCGCTTGGTTATTAATTAACCAATTTTTTTTTTTTTAGGTTTTTTGGTTTTTTAGCTGGATGTAAGGTGGGTATTTTGTTTGTTTTGTTCTTTCTTCTTTCGCTTAGTTATTAATTAACCAATTTTCTTTTTTTTTTGATCTTTGGGCTCTTCGGCTGGATCCAAGATGCAAGGTAAGTGTTTCATTATTTTCTTCTTTGTTTCATTCTTTTTTCTTTCACTTGGTTGTTAATTAACCAATTTTCTTTTTTTTTAGGTTTTTGGATTCTTCAGCTGGATCCAAGATGCAAAGTAGGTGTTTCATTTGCTTCATTCTTTCTTCTTTCACTTGGTTATTAATTAACAGATTTTCTTTTTTTTTTAGTTTTTTGGGTTCTTCGGCTGGATCCAAGGTGCATGGTGGGTATTTCATTTGCTTCGTTCTTCCTTCTTTTGCTTAGTTATTAATTAACAAATTTCTTTTTTTTTTAGATCTTTAGGCTCTTCGGCTGGATCCCAAGGCAGTAAGTTTATTTTCTTACTTTGCTTTAATCTTTATTTACTTTCTTTTTTAGATGTTTCTTTTAGC